TGTCCTTAGACCAACACGGCTACAACCTACACCCCTGTAGTTTAAGGTCATTCACAATAATCTAATAATAATAATAACAACAGTATCCAGAACTTCAGTCATTCCTGGGACTGAAGAAAAGAGCCCAATGGAAAGCCAATCAGCAACAGAAGTAAAATAAAATTTGCCTGAAGTGATTGCTTTAAATTCTTACCTTGCTTTTCCCCACCTGACATGTGTTGCAATAGAACCAGATGAACCGGACCTAGAAGTTGTCTGGGAAAATAATGGAAGGGTTATACAATACTTTTTAAAACTAAAGGACCTTAGTTTTCTGATCCAACCACAATGCCACAAAAATCAGGAATGGAAAGGTCATGGGTAACCAGCAGCTAGGAAGTGCCCTTGCAAATGCTTTTAAAAATACTTTGGTAAGCCTTTAATTTAAAATGGTTTAAACCCACACATTCTGTAAAAACAAGAATATAAGTTCAGCTATGATCTTACCCTGGATCTGCATTTTCCCATAGACCAAACTAAAGACAGTTGGCTCCCAGCCCCTTCTCTCCCAATGCACTTGAAGCATGCAGGTATTCAGGATAAGTGCAAGTCCTCTTGTCTAATCTTGTGTCAGTGTTTTAACAGTGCAGAAACTTTAATTCAACATTAGAAAATCCTATTTACTTGCAAGGCAAAGATAATCCACATATACAGTGACATAGATGTTACAGCTGGGCAATGTTTCTTTTCCCCTTATATCATGATGAATATTGTTCACTTTTTCAATCTGTTATTTTCATGGGAAAATCCCTGTTTTACTCAGGCTGTGAGACTATCTTCAATATGGAAACTATTAGTCCAATTGAATTTGGAATTTAGAAATTGAAAAAAGAAGTCATAAATTGAATTGACTGTTTGACAATGAGATTAATACTTGAAACCATGAAACAATTTGATTTGCTTCCCTGTATAGTACACATATAACTAATGAAAATGTTTCTCGGAAAGTCTTATGTCTGGTTTACGTGTTAGTCTAATTCTCCTGATTTTGGCAATTAGGTTTTAAAAAGATTCAGTAACAGAAGAGTTAACAAAAACTGAAGTTCTATTAAAAGATTTATCTTAACCAGGTGTTTGGATATCTTGGAAGTAGGCATTTGAGATACACCCTTTCTGCTGTAAATATCATTAAGAGACCAATTATGCAGTGTTATACAAAACTTTGGTAAAAACATGAGGATAATGAAAAAAACATTGTTTGAGTTTGCTGGAATAAATCGCTAAACATGTGACTTGCAGAATGCCAGAGTGTCCTTACAACCAGCAGCTTGCATATAATGTCTCATGCAGAAAAACAAAGGCAATATTTGGATTCTTCTCTCAAAGGCCACCCTGAAAGATATTCATGGCTACTCGGAGAATGGTAGTCACATACAAAAATATATCTGACTCACTCCTTGAGGGTACAGAGTCCTTAAAACATCTTAAGTAAAGCAAAAGATCAGACTATTATATTGCAGGGTTACTGTGTTAACTCTAATCACTTTCCACTATGGAATTCCAGTTTGGAAAAAGAATGATCAGAGATCTTTAGCTGATGAAAGTTGATGTTTTGCCACTGAGGATGAAAATCTGGGCTTACATATGCAAATTCACTGGGCTGAATTTGCCTTATATAAATCAACCACAAAACTGTTAAAAAGGTGCTTATTCCTGAACTAGTATCAGAAAAAGTAACCTCTGGGTTAAATGATACAATCATTCACAGGTGGGATTGACCATAGTTTTGTAAATTTCCACAGGGAGAATTACATAGAACCAGAAGATGCCACTGCATGAAAACTGTGGGGGGGGAGTTTTTAACTAAGCGGTAAAGTAACTGCGTCTGTTTGTAGTTATCAGGCTGTTGTGCTTTTTGTTTAGTAGGTCAACACACTGTCGACTTATTAATTTGTGTCTGGGCCTATCACGCAAAGGCTGTTGCTTCACAGACGGTTTCAATCAGAGCAGCCAAACCAGCAAAGTAGGACATCCTGGTCAGAATTACTTTCTCAACCTCATTTTGAACTGTTGCTTTTTCAATCAGTCTTGGCAGATTTCATTATAAGCTATTTTGTATAGCATGCACATTTAATGAGACGTAACACTCTTATGTAAGAAGAGGGGTACCTTCTGTCAGTACTTGCAGGAATGCAAAACACAACCATTGGAAGCAACGGTCCATTTTCCTACAAAACTAACTGAAAAACAATGCAGCTGGATTAGAATTTTACTATTTTCCCTTGTACTGATGTTCCATAGTATATTTTATGTTCATTCTAGACAGCATGTAAGTAAAACTGTACAGTACAAACACCTTTTTTACAGATTGATGACCAGACCAAAAACAAAAAACCTTTTTCAGGTCATCAAAAACATTTTTTTTCAAGTTTTCTC